CCAATAAATCGAACAATATGATCGTGATGTAAATTTATTGGGCCACTGGTGGGCTTGATTTGTGTCACTGTACGGAGATTTTTTGACACTGTATTCATGATTTACATATTTTTTAAAAAATCAAATCTAACAATATTCATTAAATCTTAATGGCAAATAATTTATTTATAATTATAATAAGAATGAGAATGTTCCCTCCCATGAGAATGTTCTTCTCCCATGAGAATGTTCACCTCCCATGAACATTCTCATGGGAGGTGAGGTACGTCATGAGAATGTTCACTAAGGCCAGCAAAGATATTCCCACAAACAACCGAAAGGGATTTCCTAAATAAAACCAAGAGGTTCTCCGGATGGGACTGAGAATACTGACCATGGATACGAGAGTCAACAACTGTGTGCTTCGCATTCTCCGCCATTGGAGAGTCCGATAGAACTCTGATTCGCCGAAGCGACGAACTCGAGACAATATCATCCTACGAACATCACATTCTGTCCGGACACTATGCGTCAGATTAGTTTTTAAGGACCAAAGGAGATCTCTGTCTTACGTAACATGTCTTTTGTATATTAATAAACGGGTATTAAATGTAAGCAGAGTTCGTGCCTCTGTGTCTAACGCCACTACTTTCCATACGCAGTTCACACCTTCTCGCCATCTTGAACGATACATCCTCCTAAATTAAGGGCGTGTCGATCTCAACGCTAAGAAATATCGGGTCCGTGATAAGATATCACGGGGTCCTCCACAAAGATATCACTAAACAAATTTGATATCAAATGCTTTGAGTTATTATCTTTATATTGTAAGGTATTGTATTAAATATAATATAATAATAAAAGCTAATATTCGTGTATATTCCGTTTTTATGAAGTAATATTGTGTTTTTCTTCTTTTAATTAATGAATTTTTCAAAAATGGTAAATAATTCTACCTAAATATAAACGATTATTCATGTAATTATACAGTATGTTTTGTTTTAATCTCAAGATTAAACACACTTCATTCTATAGAATTATACTCAACGAGTGTAAATCTTTGGGATAAACGGCTAAGTTGTCCGGCTGAATTTGCCACAATTATATCCATTACGAGTGAGTCTGATTCGCAATAATGACTCTATTACAGCACAGCAATGAGATATGCCAGTGATGTCCCCCAATTTGCCCATGACAAGTTATTATAACCTGAATCAAATCGGAAGACCTATCTATCATAGTTTCGGTCATATCCAGAATGGGAATGACCGAGACAAGACTAACATATCGAGGTGATCCTATCAACGAAAATTTCTGAGCCGATTCAGATTAAATTCCTGGTCTCTCAGAGTAGCAAACTGATGCTTCTGTCAGATTGACTATCTTTTAGTTTTAAAAAACAAAGTATTTAGAGGTAAATTTGATTATTTTTTACTAGCAGATAATTTCTTACTTGTAAACTTCCTCGAGGACAATATTCTGTTAATAGACAACAATTAGGAGGTTCCACACACGATCCAATAAATCGAACAATATGATCGTGATGTAAATCTTTCATCTATAAAACAAATATCATCTGAAAAGTTGAATATAAATATTAAAGAATATTTAAAAATCTTTTAAAATTTTATTTTGACAGACCTTCTTGAATTCCAAAAGAAGTGGTCTAGTTAATTCGATTCGAGATTTGTTAATCGGTTTGATAGCTACAATAGCACCCTAAAAATAAATTATTTTAATTGTTTATACTTTTTCACTTAATTTAAAATATTTAATAATAAAATAATCAGTTTAAAATAAATTTTTCAATAAAATATTTATGTTAATATCTCAATCCATAATTATTACAATAATTACAGTTATAGCTAAATTTTTCACTTCTGTATCTAAACAATTTTGATTGAATATTAAAATAAAATAAAGTTACATCAAAGGAGTGAAGATAATTGTTAAATAAATATTATAGGCCTAAATATAATTTTCTTTTGGCCAGTATGATATGGTATAGTCAATGCTACTGTATCATATATTTTCAGAAATGTTTTATAACAATGAGCTTAGGGGAAACAGAACAATCATTCGCTTTACCATAGTTTCCATAACGATAATTGTTTCATTATTCAATTAGTTAAAACCCATCGATGTCGGTCTAAAACGTTGCAAGAAAAATGATCAAGAAGATTAAAAAAATTCTGATTATATTTTATTTTATTAGAAAATTATTCTAAAAATATATTGCTAACATCATTGTTACTTTCATCTTTTTTGATCATCTTCAGGAACCTATTTACACAATAGAATTCTCAGAATGTAAACATTCGAATATTCAATTCCGTTAAATTTAAATAAAATTCTAATGTTTTAAGTTTAATGAAATCTATTTCGTAAACAACCGAACTCCTATACTGTCTCTGATACAATTTCCCCAATAATTTTATAAAAGTTGCTATTATTAAATCTGTAAATCTTGTTAAAGAGTGGTTCTCACTTCCACGACACTCTGGTATGTCATGAGCTTCTAATGGGAATACCACCAAATTTCGAAATATCATTTAAGAATGCTAATTTTTATACAAAAAAATGATGATCTTCAAATAGTTCAGCCATTAATATTGAGGGAATCGGGAACAAATTCAGATGGCTCGAAAACCCCAAGAATTTCTTGGCAGGAAGTCCATTAGGGATATATTGGATCCCTTCCCTCACCACTCGGTCGTCCCTTGGCCGAACTCTCAATAGGCTTGATAATAAGACCCTTCTAGCGACCACAAGGCGGAGAGTAAAATAAAATAAAATAACTCATATTTCATTATATGAAGTAGATATAAGGATATGTATTTGATTCAACACCAACTCGGTACGTTAACAAAAATTATGGTATAATATTACGCTTAAGAAGATTATGAGTTGTATTAAGATCGGAAGGTGTCTTATATCTTCTAGTCTTAATTCTTTTCAATTGATTTTTATTTCTTTTCTCGAAACCTTCTCAGCGAGTGTCATTATTATGTCTTTCTTACACTATCTAATGTATTCTCTCAATCTAGAATCTAAATTTATAGTTAAATTATGAATNTGGGCCCGGCGTTGCTCGGGCAAAAGTAACGATAACTAAGATAAAGATTATTACGTTACAGTCAACCTTACCTGTTTTCACAGAATGCAAGAATTGAGTCCCCTTCTTTCCAGACTAATTAGAGAACTTTTAGATGGTTGTAAAAATATGTTCGATTTCCCGCAAAAACGAAAAAAACTGCATCTGCGTATTGCACGTCGCTTTCTCTTAACAATTCCATTGTTACGTAACACTTCCATTGTTGACACTTTCATTGTTACTTAGCACTTCCATTGTTACTTAGCACTTCCATTGTTACCTAACACCGCCATTGTTACTTAACACTTCCATTGTTGATGGAAGACTTAATCCTGTCTTTCTCCCCCCGGGGGGAATTTCGAAAAATCCCTTCTTAGTGTGCGTTTGCGTACCCTATCTGTGTACCAAATTTCAACTTTCAATTCCTAACCGTTTGGGCTCTGCGCTTATTATTATTATTATCAACTCGTCTCGATTATATATATAGATGAGGTCATTCATCAATTCTGCAATTTTACCCATCATGTAACCCTTAATTGTTACTTGCTCTCAGTATAGTAATTTATACTGCTTTAATTTCCTACCTCAATTATACGACGGATTAATTAATATTAATTAATTAATAATTATTATAATTAATAAATATTTAAGTTATATTTCTATGTCTTTTTAATGTCAGCATGAAAAGAACATACTCTAGAATTCCCACTAATTGTAGTCTTATTTACTTATTCCGTTTTAATGTTACTTTATAAATTCGATATGTTTCGGATTCGTTATTTATTTCTGGCTTTATTGACGTAATTATACTATACTATTATTAGTCCCACTATTGTTAATATAACAAAATTAATTTTTGTAAACGTGCATCGAATTGTTTAATAAAACTGAATCCAACATGGCTTTGTATCCGTTCGATTTTCTTAAGAAAGATAATGAATTAATTGTGGAACATATGCAAATTGATAACTCCGTAGTAAAATTGTGTACTACAAAACTTCAGACACTCGGTATTCCCGTTTATTCATATGCACGTTTGAAAGGCAGGAATGGGAGAAAAACGCTTTGCATAGCCATGTCAGATTCAACGTGTCCTTTTGATAACATCAGAATGAATCAATACGTAAGAAAAAAATTACGAGTCAAAGTGGGGGAGATCGTCCGAATTTATACGGTAAACGATATCGATTATGGAAAAAGAATTCATGTTTTACCAATCGACGATACAATACGAGGAATGAATTGTCAACTTTTCGACGATTATCTGAAACCATACTTTCAGGGGGCATATAGACCAGTATATAAAGGAGACTTGTTTCTTATTAAAGGCCCTCAAGGAAATGTCGAGTTTAAAATAATTGCGGTCGATCCCGATCCCTTTTGTATCGTCGNTAATAGATAATATATATATTTTTAATAATATAATAACTTTTTGACAGAACAATAGAAATTACATATAAAGAGAGAATAATTGTATTGTTAAAATGATTACATTGATAAATGAATCATATTGTAGTCATCTTCAAGGATTCTTCAAGGATTTAAACTTTTTAACACTAAAATATTTTAGAAAGTGGCAATCGTTTATCAATATAGTTAGAATGTCGCTCGTTTCTCTTTATTAAGATGCCTTTATGTCTATTGTCTAACCATCTGATTAGATCCATGATAATTTCCATTACATTAAACTATGTCAAGTTGATAATAATGAAATACAATATAGCAAATGCTCACTTAACGTCGTTTTGTTATTACATTCTTGAGAAAAGATACATTTGTAATCATTTAAAATTATTGCTGTTGAATTTTCTTTATAAACAATAAAATTGATTAAATGCTGGACGTTTAAAACATAATCTAATGTGAAATTTAACTCTTGTTTATATTATTTAGTATATGGTTAAATTGATTTCGTTTCAATTTCCAAAAATCTATCAACAATGTTAATTGAAAACTTGCAATATAAATAAATATAATATTATTATATAATATAGTTGCTGTACACACGGAAAAATGGAAAAAGTTCTTTTAGGATTACAAGTAGTTTCCACTATTTAATTGATAGATCTATTAGAAAATTAATTAATCATTGTTACAACATTTCACAAGCAATGGATATCACTCAGCATGCTTTGAAGAAAAGAATCAAGATATGGACGAATTAAATGTTTAAAAGATAGAAACATTAAAAACGTATTTTATAAAACTTATTTTAAATTTTACTATTCATGCTTACTTACAATTATACTATTACGATTTAGACTCATTTTTGAACCAGGTTTTCTATTAAGATTCTGTTTCGTGGTAATAATGTCATCCCATTTGACTTTCCACGTCATAGAAGATAATTCTGCTTCAAGTTTAAAATGTCTGTAATAAATTTAAATTTTTTAAATATTTTACCATCAAGACATTTCGAACCATCGAAATCGCAAGGTGGAACATCAGGTGGAGGATCTTTTCTACCTCCAGGCCAATGCACATTTTTACCAACAACATCAATCACCTGTTGATTTGAACCATAGTAGTTAGCAACCACCTAAAAATAACAAAACTATAATTACTAAAAAATATATAATAAAAGACAAACTAATATTGCATGAAAAATTAATATATAATTTTGTTTCATTTATTTTCATTGATGAAGAAAAAGTTTCTTATTAATTAATTAAGGTGTCCAACTAAAAATGTATATTTCGAGTAAGTATATGCCTCAGTTAATTAATAACCTTGTAATTACAGAATTACAATTATCTCCTAGCAGTGCAGAAGCTGAAATAATTAGTTTCTCAGTTTTTAAGATTCTTCCACTGAATCAATGAACTCTTATATAGGAGTTCCTTGACAGAAGAAAAGTGGTATACGATTGAGACCTTACCGCCTCTTCGAAAACCACATAAATATATACTTGAATAACACAAATAAAAATAGATTTTTCAGCATTTAACAAAAGAATCTTTAATTTTATTAATGTTTAATATCATACAGAAAGTCCTCACTTAACATTCGTTTCGTTATAACTTCGTCCAAGAAAGATAAATGTAGGTTTTTACTGTACATTTGTAATATTAATATAAGTACAATTATTATTGTTGAATTTTCTTTATAAACGGGAAAATTAATTCTATGAGATAAACAATAAATGCTGGTGGTTGCAAGACACGATGCAATTAGAATATTAAGCAAATTTTGCTTATACTATGTAGCTTACAGGAAAATTGGTTTCGTTATAAGTCAATTTTAATTTTAATTTTTTAATAAAAATAAAAGTAATTTCATATCGATCCTACCTCAAATTCAGCTGTTACAGGATTCATATCTAAGAGAGAATAATCCATAATTCTATCTCCATTTTCATCAATATTGATATTCATGTTAATATTTGTTCATAATATGAAGTTCAAAAAGAGTGAATTCTTAGTTTATTTGGCTAAATTTGTATTATTTTTCATGTTACAGCCACATCTAAGGGCCTAATTTAATACCTTCGTTTCTCTTGTTTTAAATTGAGATAGTGATTAAATTTTGTGAGATAGTGATAGTGATGATTGCTAATCTTTCCATAATTTTTAAAGCAATATTCTTAGTCTTAGAAGTCTTCCTATTTTGATTTTGCATTTTAAATAAACAGTAACAAACATTTCTCAGCAGCAGAAGCTGTATTTAAATATGTATTCTCGCTCATTTCTCGCCTTTTATAAATATCAGACCCAACATGTCATAAACATAAACTCTTCGTATGCTTCTAACAATTTTATGATATTTTTTGAGTCCACTTTCTGTTCATTTTTATAATCTAAAAAATTTGAATTCAATTATCAGCTATATGTATTATTTTACATGTAACAATTCGTATCTGGTAATAATAATTAATGATATTTCTGCTGAAAGTTGTGTTTATATCTCCACATGTACAAATTGAGTGGCAAGACAAGACTTTTTCAGATAAAATTTGTGGAAAATGTATGACTAATCTTCTTTATTATTATTCTTATTATATAATTATTCTTACTTCCATTCTAAATCTCTGTTAATGTTTCAAAATGTTGACCTTTGTGGGCAAATTTTAATTTGGAAAAAGTATTCGGCAAGTATGGTATTTGGTGAGTAAATGACTTGTAGATAGATATCATATTACTACTTTTTTGTGAAATACTAATTCACAATTGCAACATCGTGTGATAGTGCGTGTTTTTAAACAGATACATTCTATCGAGTCATTCTGTGTAATGGCAATTACAAAGTCTGTCTGAAGTGATTTTCATTAATCTTTTCACTCTTTAGAACAAACTCTTACTAGAAGAATCCTTCATTGTTCCGTCCGTTTTCATTGTTTTTTCATGAGAACCGAAGTTTTTTGGATTTCGTCGAGTATTACAACTTTACCGTAAACATTTGATGTCATTTCCAATATTTCTGTATTGTTTACCTTCATAAAAACTTATATTTTATTCTCTACGCTTCTGNTATAGTATTATATATATCTATGTATATACTAATAATATCTGTATATTTAAAAGTATTTCATTATATATCTAATAAAGTACATTTATTAAATTATTCATCAAATAGCTAATAAAATTTACCTTCAAATGTTCTGTTCCACATCTTTTGAGTTATAACAGTGCCATTATATATTCCATAACCTTCATTTAAAGTTTCATTAACAGCAAGAAAATATAGTATAACTGCTTCATGGAATGCCGTTACATACGTATTTACCTACAGAAACTAATATTACATTACATATTTCGTTATGAAGATTGAATAATATTACTAAAATAAACAAAATGTTTTTTCTGATAAAATTGATGAATATTAACGTTTATTAACACATTAACTTATATTTATATTAATA